AAGTGCCCATCCCTTCCTGTCATCACCCTTTTGGCACCCATGGGATCAGGCCCCTGTCGGCCTGCCAAGGCTGTCCAGAGAGCAAGCACAGAGCTGGGGGCAGGAGCCTGTCATACCCACTCCTCCCCTTGCCTGTCTCTAGCCTCAGCAGAGAATGGGGTCAGCCATTCACCTATAGGGTTTCAGCATAGCCCTGAAGCTTGGAGCACAGCTTCTGACAAGAGACCAGGGCAAGCAGCAGGGAGAGAGCAAGGATGGGGCCACCTTCCAACCTCCATCCCCACCCCATGAGGCCAGAACCCAAAGTCAATCTGGGAAGGTGGATGGGATGGCAGGGTGACGGGCCAGTGTTGTACGAATTAAGTCACATAGCTCACAGCAAGACTGTATGACAAGATCAGCCCAGCATAAGCCTTTGGCAGAGAAGGGACCTCCAGGCTGCTTTCTTATCTACTTAGGGGAACAAGTCAGTGGAAGCTCAGTCATTTATATACAGGATGCCCATTTCTCTGTCAACAGAAACTGACTGGCCTATTATCCTCAGGAGGAAAGCACAGTTTTGTATACAACCTCCTTAAATGCCTCCTCAAGCAGCAGAGTCCCAGCGTTCCAGCGCTGCATAGATCGCTCTTCCCCCCCCGACGCCCCCCCTACCCCCAGCCCTGCACTGCTGCTTCACCCTCCCCTCCCTGCCTCCCCTCGCTTCACCCAGATCCTTAACAGGAAAGTCTTACTTGGAGATACCAAAGGGGACACAAATGTCATGGGGGCTACTCAGGCCAACCCTAAGGGGGTGGAGACTTACAGCTGGCACCACCCAGGGGGATCTGATTTCAGTCCCCAGGGCCAGCTGGACCCAGAAAGGGACAGCCTTTGCCCTTCTGGTGGCCAACATGCCACAACCTCAGGCACTCAGATCCACCACAGCCTTGGACACAGGCTGACACCCCAGTCTGGGGGCTCAGAAGGAGGCCCCTAAACACAGAAAAGCCCATGGGTACAGATGGCCACATACCAGCAGAGATGCCACCTGGAGAAGGCTGGGCCAAGGTTTGTCTGGGAAATCTCAGAGAACATGACAACAGTTACCGCTGGTGCGTTTGCTGATTTTAGATGGCGTTTCTTAAACCGTGGCTGGGGGACCACCTGCATGAAATTCACTAGGGCCCATAAATTCACTATACTTGTTTAAAGTATAGATTCTGGGGCCCAATGCCAGACCTCCTGTGGATAAAGCCCAGGAATCTGTGTTTTTTAACCAGTACTCAGGTGATCCATATGCACACTAAAATTGAAAATCACTGCTGAGAGGAAGTCCCAACATTGCCCTATAAGGCCATTACTGACAGGGAAGAAAGAATCATAAGCTACACTGTGTTCCTACGTCTCCCACCTGCTATATATGCCCCAAGCACAGGTCTTTAACCTCATGTGTCCTCTCCAACAACCGTGTCAGGCCTGCAGCCTGGCTCCATGGATCAGAAACGGGGAACCCAAGCCAGCACCAGGGTACGAGGGTTCCTACAAGTCGGCTCTGAGTTTTCTGAGAGCCAAAGCCAAGAAACGACCATGACCGGTTACGTAGTCCTCTGAATCCATTCATTCGACATATATAGGCTAGGTATATGTCAGGCACTTTGCTGGGCCCTGCCCACACAGAGGTAAAGAAATAGATATGGTCCCTACCCTTTACCTCCCAGGTCCTCAGGAAGAAGAAAGCTTTTGCTTACATTTAGCCTCAATAGAAACTTCTTCACATGGGGTACACAGATTAATAAATAAATAGCAAGTGCTGTAACAGATTTCAAAATATTGTTTCTGGTAGCATCTCTTAGTAAGGCCAAGTGTCCATGTAGTAAAAGCAATTGGAGTCCAGATAAATGGTCCAAATACAAAGGTTCCTTATGAGGCCAACTGTTCCAAGGATAAATCCTAAACTACGGAAGAATAAAGGACCATTTGCCCTTCAACTATAGCAATATGGGGAAACGCTTTGGATGTAAGCAAGAGAGCAGGATATAAAATGTTATGCTCCACGAGGTGAAAATCTATATGCATATGAATAAAGATAAGAAGGGAATCTGAAGATTTAAAAATAAAAAAAGACATAAGGGCTCAGGCTCCTTGGGGGGGTGCTCTTAAATCTTAAAATAACGACTTATCATTGCCATCACCTGGCCCACTAGCTCCTGCATCCAAGCCTATTTTAAATGCCTCCTTCAGCCTAGTGGAGAGCTAAGCTTGGAACCACGGGCTCCCTTAAGAGCCCCAACTCCACACCTATCACTGTTCCAAGCAGAGGGAGTGACGTTATATGACTTTCAGTGACTTTATGTAGACAGGCCTGCAGACAAAGACGGTGCTCAATGCACAGCCACACAAACTCCCTACCTTGTAATACAGCAACAAACGTGGGCCTCTGAGGCCACAATGACAAGAAACAACAGAGTAAAAGGATTCCTACCCAGATCCAATCCCCCCGTAAGACCAGGTGATCTCTCCCCACGCCTCCTGAGCACTTCACTGCAGATGCCCAGGAGAAGCAGCTTGATACCCTTTTCTTTCCTTTTGATTCGCAGCACGGAAAATCACAAACAAGAAAGAACACAGGCAGAGAGACTCAGCAAACAGGGCAAGCCCCTTCAGACCCTCATGGATGACCCTGGTGGGCCCACCACATTCCTGGACACAGAAATCCAACACCTGCGGAGCCCTAGACAGACAGACAGCGAAGAGTGAAACCCAGCCCCAGCTGCTGCACCTTTATAAAATATACAGCGTAAACCGAGAGGCTGCAGGGTAGCCACGGGCCTTCACTCCCTAACCCCATGGGCACCAGCGTAGTGGGCACCCTGGCCCAACTCTCCAGGAGCTCACATCCCCTGTGCCCACACCTACAGCACAGCCCCCAGCTTGGTCCCTCCATCTCCAAGACAACACCCTCCCACTCTCCCACCTCCGAACCATACTGGCACTGACAGATTCCTGACCCCTCTTGTTGACATCTGTGCCCGTCAGCCAGGACCAAGCCTCTGTCCCTAAGTTAACCTGGTACACAAGCCACACAACAGAGCCCCAGTCTTGGCATAACCATCTTGAAAGAGGGGGAGTTGATGTCTGAAGCATATGATCTTACACAAGAATCCTTTCCTTAAGGGACAAAAAAAAAAAAAAAAAATCAAAGAGAAATCAAACCTCATCCAATTTGGGCAGGGAAAGAAAGATGTCAGTTGGAAAAGACAAGGCAGGGTTTAAAGGAGGTGAGGAAGGGAATAAGACATGATGACACAGGCCAGGGAAGTTCAGGTGGGTACGGAAGGAGAAGAGAATGACAGCCGAAGGCAGGCAGCTCCACAAAGTCACCAAGACAGCTATCCTCACATCTCCCTCACCCCTGGGTCAGAGGACACTGGTGAGATGAGGAGCACGAAGCATTGCATCATTAACTGGAGACACCAGACACCAGCCCCATTTCTGATGCACCAGGGCTCTGCTGTGTGGGCACAGGGAGGTATCCACTCTTGAGCTGCCGTCCCTGCCTGCACCCTGCACCCTTGGCCACAGGATGTCTGCCAAAGAGCCCAGCCCACTGTGTCATCCCCCTACCCCAGGGGAGGAGGGCATCTGACTGCCCACATATCTCTATGGCAACCGTCGCCTCCGACTCAAGGTACCCAGAGAGAAAGAAAACAAACAAATAAGTCAACTTTATAGCCAACGTAGAGGAACAGCAAGAGATGGAGGCTGGGAGGGAGACAGAAAGACAAGCCCCGTTTGTGGGGATGAAGAGAAACCCTCCCAGCCAGGAGGCAGACACAGCCTTGCTAGATAGGTCCCAGAACAACTGGACACATGACAGGAGCCCACTGTCATCTCCGTGGAATTTAATAGCTTCTCTGATGCTCAGGGACATCAACTACAGCTCTCACCCCGGCGTCGCCTGGTTCACTACTAGCCACAGCCCTCACCTTCCCCAGGGCATCGGTCCTGGCTCCTAATCTATGTGTGGGCATCCTATTGCCCCAGGCTAACTCCTTTCTCTGGGTCTAAAAACCTTTGTCCCCTGCTGCACCCCACAGCCCTCAATGATGACCCATCCACATACCTCTGTACTCACCAGACGTGTTCACAGAGCACTCACTGCACACACTGCTGGGTCTATACCTATCAGATGAGGTGAGTTTGGCAAGCACCCAATACAAGGTTCGGGGAGTGTACGTTCGAGGTGTGAAAGACAAAGACAGGGCCTCACCCTCCTGGCCTCAGATACTTGGGAGGATCTCACAAATCAGGCTCCAAGGCCTGGGCCTTCACAATCCTCAGACCTGGAGGCAATGCTGCTCCTACCCAGACCAGGCCACTGAGATTTCCAGACCATGAGGCATCACCCTCCACCCAGGACAGGCTGCATCTGCTGCTGCACCACCAACTTTGTAATTTGATCAAAAAAGCAATCAAGTTCATCTGGCAGGATCTGTTCCCGAGAAGCCCTCGCCAGCAGCAGCCTCCCCTGATGTTTACAGATTCCCTTCCCTTGGGAGTCTGTTCTGCCGCCTGGTGGGCAGGGGGAGGCTGGATTTGTCAGAGCTGTTCACTTACTGCATTTCCATCCTAAGTCACCACGGGGGCACAGGGACCAGGACAGGCCTGGAGCGGCTGCCCACTGCCCGCAACACAGAGACTCCAAATTAAGAGCTCTCCGTTCCATGCCCCCATCACTCCCCATGTCGCTGCCTCCCTTAAAAACCAAACTCCCTTGAGCCTTCAGGTACCACTCCTCCCTGTAGTTACCTACATGTCTTACATCTTTTTCATTCTTTTCTACCTGAGCACTTCTAGTTCCCCATGCAACTCCTTGCCTGGCTTCCAAGTCAACCAACCCTGAAATTCCAATTCTTCTGCAGGGGCTAAAATACACAACTCCCAATTCCTGGAGCATCTTCAGAAGCTATAGCCCTTGGAGGCAGCCCAGGGAGAGGCCAAGATGGGGGAACACTCACCCCGGGCAGATAACTTCTTGGTGTTGATGATTTTTGCTGCATACTCTTGCGTGGAGGTTTTCTTCACACACCTGCGGACCACAGAGAAAGCACCCCTGGAGGGAGAAGGGGGAAAGAACTGGGACACGGAGCAGAGCAGAGTGACACAGACACGCTTTCAGGTCTGAGAACAGCGATGCTCCTGTCACCAGCCCTTTAGTCAAAATCATACACACCAGCAAAGTGACCATCACCTTCTAACCTGGGGCAGAAGGATGTGGCCACTACACGACACTGAACAGATGTGGGTGGAGGACCACCCCATCCCACCCCCCACATCTACTTCGCTGGACAAAGCAACAGCCCCAACCTCAGGCTGTACATCAGGAGCTGGTGGGCAATGCTTAAAACACACACCTGCTGCATCTCCCGGACAGCCCCGCAGTACCGGCCAAGAGAACCAGGAGAAGGGACAGAGACCCTGCCCTTCTCTCAGCGGGAATAGTTGAGGGTAGGAGAAGGAGAGATTAGGAAGAGGGTATGACTCGGAGAGGGAGATCTCACTCAGTCATGGGGGTAGGTGAGGAAAGTGAGGCTCAAACCCCCCATAACCGGCTTCATCCCACTGCATCCCTGGCTCAACTGACAGCAGGGAAAGAGAGGATCCAGTTGTAGGTCTCAGACATCAACAGCTCCCCTACCCCATGATTTTTTCCACTACTTTCCCCCCAAATGGGAGCTCGCACTCTCTAGCTCTGGAAACGTCTAGGGGGGCGGGCAGGGCGGGGGCTGCGGTGGCCGGGCTCGGCGCCGCGGGTGGGGGTGGGGGGGGCCGGGGCTGCTGCAGCGGCCAGCTCAGTGCAGAGGGGAGGGGGATGCTGCGGCTGCGGCGCGCGGCTCCCGGGACCACTGCAGGGATAGGGGGAGGGGACAAGGGGGTGCTGCAGCGCTGCCCAGCAGCGGGGCTGGGATCCTGAAAGCATCACTAGCGGGGGGCGGGGCCGGGCACCAAACATCCCCCCACACTCGGGCACCGCAGCGGGGTTGGAGCTGCAGGGCCAGGGAGGGTCCAGAGTGCCAGGAGCGTGGGACATGGGACAGGGTGCTGAGTGAGCTCCCAAGAAGGGTGAGGAGGGGGCGCGGCGACCATGCGGGGTCAGAATGGGGGGCGCCTGAAGGGTGAGGGAGGGGCGGGGCTGGAGGGCGCCCAGGAGCGGTCCGGGGGCTGCAGTCCCCGCGGCAGCGCGGTGTGCAGCAGCCCGGGCAGCTGCTGCAGGGCGCGGAGGGGGCTGCGGGGCACGGGGCTGGGGGTGAGGGGGCCCCGGAGGCGGCGGGCGGGAAAGGCTGGGGGTGGGGCGGGCCGAGGGGGCGCTGCAGCGGCCGGTGCAGGGCCGGGGGGCGGGGCGAGGAGCCGCATAGCGCCCGGGCGGCGGGGACAGGGTGGGGGGCCGCGGCGGGAGGCGGGCGGGTCGTACTTGCCGAGCTCCTCGAAGAGCTGATAGTCGTCGGTGAAGCGGGTGCAGGTGGCTGTGGTGGCCATGCTGGCGGGCGGGCGGACGCGGCGGTGCAGCCCGCGCCGACGTCGGTGCACAGTCACCGCCGCCCGGCCGAGGGAGCAAGAGGAGGAGACGGGGCTGAGCCCGGCAGCACCGCGAGACTTTACCGGGGAGAGCGAGGGAGGGAGGGACACCCCCGCGCCCGCCCGCCTGCCCCGCCCCCAGCCCCGCCGGCCCCCCGCCCGGCCCCCGGACCGCCCCCGGGGAGGGGCCTTCTGCCTTCGGCTCCGCCCCGCCCCGGGAGCCGCCCGGGCTGGGCCGCGCGCTGGGGGTAGCAGAGGGCGGGGGTGGGGTCCCAGCCCCGGGCCACCCGAAGGCAGCTGAAAGCCTCACGACCTGTGGGTTTGTTTGTCCCAGGGGGGACCCTGCAAGGGCTCGGAATGTGCGTGCTATGTGTGTGTGTTGGGAGTGTGTTGGGGTCTGGACCACCGAGTTTTCTAGCCGTCCTTAGCCCCCAGCCCGGCTCACACGATGTGGAGAGAGGACCAAGGTCAAAAAGTCCGCTGTCAGACTGCACACGCGGGAGGCGCCCCCAGCCTGTGCAGAGCCAGTTCCCTCAACAGCCTTCCCTCTGGAAGCGGACAGTCTAGACTTGTGTAAGCATCAGGGCCATTATTAGATAAAACCCTTCAGGCATGGTTTGTTCAGGGAGACCAGGCCAGGGCCAAGGATGCAGGTGGAACTCTGCCTTCCTGCACTCCAACCCTGGCGATAGGAGAATGTTCTCTCTCAGGCCAGGAAGAAAGGGATGAGGTGGGAACGATTAAAAAGATTTTGTGCGGTTGTGGGCTAGAAGAGCAAGTGGAAGGAAGGAGAAAAAATATCCCCATTTTTCTTGCAGGGCACCTGTAATTTATTTTATAGCACTCATCACATTTTGTCATGATATATTCAATTTACTGCTATGAGAAGCAGTAGAGCTAGAATGTAACCACATTCACTCTAAAGAGTGAATTCTGATGTCAGACTGCCTGCTTGGATTTCTGGGCAACTCATTGACCAGCTGTGTGATGTTGGGCAAGTCACTTAATCTTTCTGTGCTTCAATAGTTTATCTGGAAACTGAGAAGAATAATAGTATCTACCTCACAGGGTTGTGAGTATTAAATGGGCGAAATCACTTAAAGCACTTTGAATAGCTCCAGGCACCTAATTAGGACAGAGGTAGCTATTATTATTTGTTTAATATTTGCCTTCCCACTAAGCTGTAGGCTCCAGTAGGGCAGGGCCTCTGCCTCCTCTGTTCCACCATTGTATACTTAGCCCCAGTCCCTCAGTAAACATTTGTGGAATGAAGGGATGACTTGGGGCCCCCGCAGGGGGAGTTACCATCCCTTCCTCTGTAGCCACTGTCAGAGGACAGTAGGACTGAGGCACATGACTGTCTCTGTGGAGGAGAAACAAGCTGGGCGGGTTCCCAACCTGCCCTGCCCAGGCAGCTGTACCCCAAGTCAGGGGCCAGCCCCAACTGGACAGGACAGAGTTGGGCCAACTGCTGCAGCTCAGTCTGGATTACAGCAGGACGCCCACTGGGAGTCAGGCCTCCATTGTCAGCAGGCTGGCTCACTGAGAAGGCAGCTGAGAGGCGTCCCAGCCTCCCAGGCTGCCTCCCTGAGGGGGCGGGTGGAGCAAAGCTCCCAAGGAAGGCTCCCTTACTTTCCTCACCCAACAGCCCTGGGAGCTGGGGAAAACCAGACTGCCCAGTGGGGGCGATTAAGGGAATGGAAGAGGAAAAGCTTTAACAGATTGCCTGGGAGGACGGCAGCAAGGACCAGAGGAAAGGGCTGAGGCAACAGAACACCATGCCCCACCCCTCCCCAGGGCAACAGGAAGTGAGGCGCTGGGGAGTAAGGCCACTTCCTATCTCAAAGCACTGGGGTGAGAGCAGCATTCTGAGTCCCAGCGTGGAGCAAGGCAATGAGATTATACGTGGGGATGACAGTGAGTCCCGAGTTCCTGTCATCCACCTTAAAGGCAGAAGTGCTGGCTAGGGGGCGCCTGGGTGGCTCAGATGGTTGGGCGTCTGCCTTCGGCTCGGGTCATGGTCCCAGGGTCCTGGGATCGAGTCCCGCATCGGGCTCCCTGCTCCTTGGGAGCCTGCTTCTCCCTCTGCCTCTCTCTCTCTCTCTCTCTCTCTCTCTCTGTCTCTCATGAATGGATAAATAAAATCTTTAAAAAAAAAAAAAAAAGAAGTGCTGGCTAGTCTGCACTCCAGAAATAGGGGCTGCATATTAATCATCAATGTGCCCTTCCCGAGCCCTCAGGACAACTTGGTTCCCGACCTCCTCATGCTGAAGCTTGATATTCATTAATGTAAGGTGGCTTGAAGAAGATGGAGGGAGATCAGAACAAGCTAGGGCTGCTGTGAAGTCCCCAGGAGGGGTATCCCAGGAAAAAATGTACAATCAGGACTACAGCTCCCAGGTACCCACGGCGAGAGGGGCTATCTTCCCCACTGAGGGTGAGCGTTCTATGCTGGGTTTTGGAGGGTAACCATATAAAGCACTTTGCGTGGAGTCTCCGGGTAAAAGGAAGAGTGATGAGAAATATAGTGGGGAGAAGCCTGGGGGATGACTCACACTGCCGTGTAAGTGGGACTAACTGCCTTCCAACAAATGTTTATCACCTCCCTACTATGTGCTGGGCACTGCCTCTCATTTTGAGAAAGGTCCAAATAAAGTGGAAAATTAGACGTCACAATGAAAACAAAACTCAAATCAATCTCTCCTTTTTCCTTTCTATTTCTACCTCGCTTCTCCCTCTCTCACTACTTCTGTCAACAGGTCAGACTCTGAGGTGGCCAGAGTGGCAATTTGGAGCCTATAGACACCTTTGTGTGCACACACAAATACACACCCTCGTACACACACCCCTGATCCCCATTGCTGTAGCACCCACACAACCTCTAGCTGCCCCACAGCAATTAGAGGGAAGGTACGTATAAATAATAACGAGTTCACCAGCTCCCTGCACATCAGTATCTATGGCAACCTCCTGGGGTCCTCGAGCTGCACTGTTCCGGTTGCAGCCAGTCCCCTGGGCAGCACCAGCACTCAGGCCCTGCCCACAGCACGGGGAACAGGGGATTACACAGGAAATCAATGCCCCAATAATCACCAGAGGTGCTCCACCGGGTGGGACCCTCTGCCGTTCGTCCGATCTTTCTCTTCGAAGTCTCCAAGAATTACACCATGGGACTTGCCCCTCTGAATGCGAGAAGCTTCCCTCCCTAATTTTGGAATGCAGTTTTATTTATTTATTTTTTTAAGATTTTATTTATTTGAGAGAGAGAGAATGAGAGAGAGAGCACATGAGAGAGGGGGGAGGGTCAGAGGGAGAAGCAGACTCCCTGCTGAGCAGGGAGCCCGATGTGGGACTCAATCCCAGGGTTCCAGGATCATGACCTGAGCCAAAGGCAGTTGCTTAACCAACTGAGCCACCCAGGTGTCCCTGGAATGAAGTTTTAGAGTGTGAAGGTACTTATTCTTCAGACCTGAGGAAAATGGGGCAATTGAAAGTGGGGTGTTCAAATGCAAGGGGGATGACGCTCTTGGAAACAAAGAATAGTTAATCTGCTTGTTGGGGGATGTTGTAAAATAAATTTGGAGACAGTTCAGTCTTGTGCCTGTAAGGGGTTTTCAATCCATATTCCACAGAAACCTATAGGTTACATGGTCATGCCTCGGCAGCTGCTCAACATATATATTGGGGTTCTGCTTAAGATTTTGTTGAAGAAGAATCCTTGGCTAAAAAAAGTCCCCGAAAGAAGTTTGAAACTTAAATCTTAAA